TATTATTATTGTTTAGCGCAGTGGTTCCCAACCCTTGTTCTTGAGTAATAAATACACGGGAACATGTATACGTCCTTGAATAATAAAATGTAAACAAGGTGTATTAAACAGAAGCCTGAACATGAGTCTGTCGAGCAGATGGGTATGAATATAGAAGCTTATGTGTAAGAGATCAGCAGCATGGATAATCAGCAGCACAGATAGTGTCAAATGTCCCAATTAAAGTAGCATTACAAGTACAACCTACACATGCGCTAATCAACGTGTGCCGCTAGTCTTGTCTCTTAATTACTTGTTTAGATTAGATGTCTTTTTATATTTATTATAGGTCTGTTTGCATTTATTGTTCTGTTGTGTATCTGCACTGTGCGTTGCACTGTGACCCTGGGGAACACCGTTTCATTTCAATATGTACTTGAATGTAGCTGAAATGACAATAAAACCTCTCTGACTCTGAGGAACACCGTCCTGTATGTTCTACTTGTTTGCCTGCTTTGACTCATCTGAGTGAATGGGTGATGAAAAGGCTTCTGCAGAACGCGAGGTACTAATTAAATCACTGTGTTTGAGTAGTGGAGCAGGAAGCAACTGAAACATGCAGGATGGTGTTCCTCAAGGACCACGGTTGGGAACCAAGAGTTTAGTGTATATCTTAGATCCTTAATTAATGCAGACATGTTCCTGTTTTTAGTATTTTACACCATTTTTTAATGTAGCATGTTTTTTTTTTTTGTTTTATATTGTTTCTTCTATTTACTTTTCATTTTATTTGCTTTCATATGAATGTTTATTGTTGTGTGTATTTCATTTATGGTTTTTGTTTAAATCAGGTCTTTCTTGTAAAGGAGTCCTCGTGACTCAGTGAGACTATGAGACTAACCTGTATAAGATAAGATAAAACTTTATTGTTCATCAAGGTGAAAATTTTCCTTCGGCTCTCCAATCATAAAATAAAACACTTTCCTACAATCAAAAATATCAACAACTTGTGCATAGAATGAAACATTTTGTATACCATAGGTAGATATTATTTGGTTTGGTTAAGAATGGTTGTTGCACTTGGAATAAATGACTTCTTATCGTAGTTGCTCTTCGTTGCCAGGGGGACCCTAAAACACCTTCCTGAGCTCAGAGGTTCAAAATGATGAAAAAGAGGATGGTGAAGTGGGTGCCACTTGAAATTTCCATCCGTGGGACAATAAAGGCTGTTTCTATTCTATTCTATCTGCTAAAATATTTCTTGCCATCTTCCTTGTTCTTTCTGCAAACAGTTGAGACAGAGCTTTTTGTGGTTTCCCCACTATTTTACCTGCCATTGAAACAATTCTTAAAAGTCTGTTTTTTAGTCTACAGCTCAGATGATCATACCTGGCAGGGAGGTGAAAACTTGAACCACTCTCAACAGTTGCCTTGTGCACAAGCTCTAAAGTTTTTTAAAAGATGGTCTCTGTGAGCATTTCTTAAATATATACTCAGTGTTTTCAGCAAAGGTGAGCTGACTGTCCAGGAATGAGCCTAGATATTTAAAATTTACCACAGTTTCAACAAGTTGGCATTGAGTGGCTTCACTTTAAGGTCTTGTTTAGGGCACATAATTAATTATTTTGTCTTGGCTACATTAAGATCTAGTTTTCTCTGACGGCACCATGTCTCCAGGGCCTTTATGTAAGATAAATAAGAAGCTTCACCTGTGGGATTGTTTTCCGTTAGTAGTCCAGCCAGAGCCATGTCATCGGCATATTTGATTAAAATACAGCTCTGGTCATTAATCACAAATTAATTTGTAAAAAGATAAAATACCACAAGAGAGAGAAGACAACCTTGAGGGCAACCAGCGCTCACCGTGAGCACATCAGAAGTGTTACCACCACCACAGACCCTCTGTGGACGACAAATAAAAGGTTGAATGAATGAATTGTATACTTTCTTTTTTTATATACTTTATATTATTGATATTTTTGGGTGTAATTGGGACTTTGAGTACACAATTTTGTTCCACCTCATGTACCGCATGTGATGTGAATGACCATAAAGAATCTTGAAGCTCGATAAAGAAGGTTCAGTCGTTTCAGTTTGATGAAAAACGTGACTCTTCCGGCTGCGTGCAGTTCCTCAGAAGTCTTTGTTTATCTGAGGCAGCTGTTCGTTGGAATTCTGGTTTCTGTGGGACGTCCCCTGCGTCAGCTGCTATATAACACAGGTGACGTTTTACCTGTCAGTGAACAGAGACGCTCAGCAAAGAGAAGCAAAGCTGCCTCAGTACTTCAAAGACGTAAGTGCTCTCGTGCATGTTTGGTGCTTTTTAACGTGTTTTTCCTGCTGTAAATCATACGTTTCAATATTTCACTCACACGTTTTTGTGCTGTTCCTCTGCAGGCGTCTAACCCACTGGAGGAGTCTGTCCTCGTCAGACGTTGTCTCCCTGAATCCACCATGTTCTCAGAAGAGGAGCTGCAGTGTCCCATCTGCTGTTACGAGTACGCTCGTAGCGGCCGGCTCCCACGAGTCCTGCACTGCCAGCACACCTTCTGCGCCCTTTGCCTGGACAAAATGAGCACGTTTCAAGGTAGCCTCCACACAGTCCGATGCCCACTGTGCCGCGTGTGCACCTGCAGCCCGTCCAGCCAGAAACTGTCCGGATACCTGATGATCAACACTGACATCTGGGACTTGATTCTAGAGAAGCCAGAACCTCAGCGGGATCTCAAAAAGACTCAGAGGCCCCAGGTCATCGAGTCACTGAGGTCATCAAAGCTGTAAGTCTGTCCTTTAGTCTATTGTTTATTGATTGTTTGAAAATAGGAGTAGTTTAATTTCTGCACACGCCATGCTATATTAATAAACTCTTTTGTTCTCTTGTTCTTTAGGTCTAAATCAAAACAAGCTGGTTATAAGGACACATTTTTCAGCTGCATAACACGACACATGCCTAAAGGGAGGAAAGCAGCGCCCTATCATCACGCTTCACCTGACGGAACCGCACAAGTGTCAGTTTGATCAAAGCTCGTTTGATGGACGGATCAGTGGTTTGAAGACCTGAAACTACGACGCGTGACGTCGGGGACTTGTCGTTTCTGCTGGTTTCAGAAGGAGCGCTCAGTAATAACCGCACTGCATCAGCTTTATTTATAAAGCACCTCAAAGAACCACACAGCCAAAGTGCTGTAGAGTTTTATTTATCACAGTGAAGCTGAGGCTAAACTTAACTTGTTCAAATATAAGAATGAATGCTGTATTTATATTTAGTAAATTATTGTACATTTTTAATAATTTATAATCTTACACACTGTTTTGACAATGATCTGAACGTTGTCTGTTTTTGTTTTTATGTGTGAATGAAACACTTAATATTCTAAGTTTTTACGCGTTTATGAAGCAAAACCGTTAAATGTGTGTTTTTCTACCTGTGATACTGACTGGATCAGAGTTTTTTATTTATTTCCGTTTTAATAAATAACTGTGAATCAAGTGTTTGTCATGAGAAGTCTTATTTTAATTTCCAACTTTGCACATTACTTTTTACATCAACAGAAAACATTTGAAGGATGAGTCAAATTCATCCATCCATCCATCCATCCATTATCTTCTACCCGCTTCTTCCTTTCTGGGTTGCGGGGGACACTGGTGCCCGTGTCCAGCAGTCACTGTGCAAGAGGACAGGTCTCCAGTCCATCACAGGGACACATAGAGACAAATGAGACAAACAACCATTCACTCTCTCACTCACCTAGAGACACTTAGAGTTACCAACCAGCCTAACATGCATGTTTTTGGTCTGTGGAGGAAACTGGAGAAAACCCACACATGCACGGAGAGAACATGCAAACTCCACGCAGAAAGTTCCCGGGTCGGGATTTGAACTGGCGACCTTCTCGCTGAGAGGCAGTAGCTCTACCAGTTGCACCACTGTGCATACACAAAACACAGTTCTTTCCAAAAGTTGATCTGGTCTACTTTTTCAATTCAGTTCAACCTTTATTTAGACAGATAAATCACATTGAGCCTCGAAGACTCATTTACAAGTGAGACCTGTTTGGACAAAAAGTGGTGAAACTGGACACATGAAGGAATTGGAGGCAAAAAAAAAAATCCTTTCAAACCCTTTTTTTCTTGGCTGAGAAGAAAAACGCTAATATTGAAAAAAACACCTCGCACATACAAGCACATGGTGACGTAGACATTCTGCGGGGGGGAGACGATGAGAGCAGTGTGCATGCTCAAGGACGCTCTCGAGGACACTGTAGGAGTTCTGATAAGGATGGAATAATCAACCAGTTCCCTCTGGTGAGATCTATAAACATTCTCGAGGGATGTCAGGAAATGGGCCAAGGACAACGCAATGAGAATCCAAGAATCCTGAAATGATGACACAATGTTTAATCAGCTGGTTTCATCTGGTTGATGAGAGGAATTCCTGGAAGGGAGGGTGAGGGGGGCAGAGTGTCAGAATACATGTCCTCCAGGTGAAGATAAGGTGGCCTTCAAGGCCAGCCGAGGGAGCCAAATTCAGATAAACGACGTTTGTTTTTGAAGTCCGACAGAACTTTAATTTTTATCTGCCTTGAGTCTTTGCTGGGCTCACGTAGATTCCACAAGGTCCAAATTAAGTGGACACACCAGTGATCCGTGCCTGAGACTATTCCCCAAGATTTGATCCATCTTGCCAGTGGGTCCAGTCCGCTAAGCAATAGAGTCTGGGTGCACATGACATGGAGCAAACCTTCACATGGCCAGGCCAGATCAGCTGCAGCTGTCTTCTTTGTATGTTGATAACCAGGAACGAGACAATTCCAAAAACGGGAAACCTGTCATCAAGTTTCGGCATCCTCAATCAACAGCAGCGATAGACACGTCCCATTCCACTTCCTCTAGAGACCTATCCAGCTGCATGCGTGTCATCCAGGCAGTTCAGCTCGCCTGAAGCTTGTCTCAAAAATTTTGTCCATTGCGTTGAAAGACCAACTGACCGTATCCACAAAATTATGGTTCGGAAGAAATGTAGAGAGAGGCTCAGAAGCAGTTTCACCGACAGGACAGAGCAGCCAAGCAAAGCAGAGGAGGGGGAGGAGGGGAAATGCGTCCGACCTCAACAAGAGCAAGTGGTGAAGTATTTATAGCCCTGCACAAACCTTTAGGTGTTTCAGTTGTTTATTCTTGCAGTTTACTAAAATCACTTGCCAAACCGTGTCACTGATCCCTACTGGTGGGCAGGAAGAAGAAAATAAATTGTGTAAATACGCTGTTGCACATTTCAAAGCTTTATTTACAACAAAAACTAAATATTTAAAGAATATAAATCAGCCGGTTGTATTTTGACCAGGCTTGCTCTCATTGTGTATTTTGAATATTTTGCTAAATCAAAAATATTGTTTTATTTTCGGAACGTAGAAGTGAGGTTTTCTCCTCCTCGGTCTTTTCCTCAACATTAGAAATAAAGAAGTCTGCCTGATTTATGCTCCACTAAAATCTCAATGTTTACAGAGCATCATCAAATCTGTCCTCTGTCATCTTGTTCCAGTCTGTCTGTTTTAACTTGTAGCTGTTCAGGTGTTGTTCCTCTCAGGTGTTAATGATCCTGATCCTTTACAAGTCTCTCTTGTAAATGAGTCGTCGAGGCTCAGTGAGACTAACCTGTATAAATAAAGGTTGAATGAATGAATGCCATATTTTACTTGAAATGGTGACTCGGACACTTTCTCTCTTACATTCAGGTCAAATAAGAATACCGGTAATAAGCTTGTTTGTGTGCTCCGTTGCCTTGTTGTAACGCTTGGTTTATGAATCGCTGTGAACTTCTCAGGTTTTTGAATCAGACAAGAACTGCAGACTATGAACCAACATAAAAAAAAAAAAACTCTGTTCTCTGGAACCAGCTTTATATGAGCCCATTTACCTCGGAAAGTAATTTCTCTTATCTGTTACTTTAGCTACTGTTTAAAGGCAACATAAAAGGTTTGATATGAATTATGACTCCTATGAACAATCAAAGAACGAGTTATTTTATTTCTACACTTTAGAGTTCGTGAGGAACATTAAAGCGTGCATTCAGTTTCTGGGAGAAAGAAAAGTAGAAGAATCCCACTGTGAGATTATAATTACGGTGTTGGGAACGGTGACAGATTATCGAAACTCTTTCCCCCGGAATATGTTTACGAAGCTGCGGACTGTCCTGTTTCGATGAAATACATGTGAACATTTTGACATTACAACACAAAACTGATGCAGTAACACAAGGTGGATAAACGCACTCACACACCAAAAACATTCCAAGATTTCAGGTTTAAAAATCGACAGTAGGCAATAATAGACCTGCTGTCAGGAAAACGTGTCACTCAGCTGCGAGTCCGAACACGACTGCCGGCCTCCCTCCTGAAAGAATCCTGCAGATACATATTCTTGGCAGGACGGAAGAATGTGTGTTGAAATAAAAGTCTGAATAAAGAGCAAGACATAATTTCTGTTTGAAAATGTTTGTAAAAACTAGTGTTTGTGCAGCACAGTGGAGTTTGTTACAGCTTCTTAACATTTTACGAGTGAAAACAACTGGCGTTGACTCAGTTTGAGCTTTAGGAGGTCCTGCACAGTTAGGACTTATTCATCTAGCTCACCGCCAAGCACCTGGTGCTCAAATGGCTCCTGGGACTCGGCCAGACCAAGCCACCTCCATTTGGGTCCATCACCTGCGAGGACCATGAAGGTCAGGTGCCATGTAAGCCTGGCAGCAGGTTTAGGGCTGCAGAGACGGAAATGTGTGGATGATCTGGGAGGAAGTGTCTTTTTGGAGCAGGAAGAGAATGTAAAATTTTATTTTGATCCAACGGCACATCAGGTAGTAAAGATGAATACAATATATGACAGTTTATTAAAATATATATACATATAAAATGTTCCTACCAAAATACAGTGCCTTGTGAAAGTATTCGGCCCCCTTGAACTTTTCAACCT